GATGCTTGACCATTTTAACACAGCGTGGTGCGATTATCCCCCTTGCGCGGAGTGAGGGTTCTCGACCCCGCACAACATGATCTACTCGACCACCATCATGGTTACCGCAAAAAAAAAAACAGAGGGAAAAAAAAAACGGTAACCTGGTTGCCGAGTTCACGAGGTGAATTGGCTTGTTTTACAACGTCGTTGCCAAGCGACGAAAACCCAATCCCGATGGCAAACACCGGGGGGCTATCCTACGGGGGGGGGGGTAGCGGGGTATACTCATGTTTTGCATGCCTTAGCGGTTAGACCATTGACGACTCGTCCTCGAGAGGACGAAGCATTGGACCGATCACCGATGGCCACTCGTTCCTTCCTACTTTGCCAAAGGTGGTCCAAAAACGTTTTTTCCTAGCCTATCTATCCTACGGGAGGATGCCAAGGGTGTCTCAAAAGGAAGGATGCGAAGGGGCGTTGTTGCAGATGTTGAAGCACGCTCTGTGTTGTTGTTTCATTGTGCGGCTGGCACGCGTAAAGAGTATGCTGCGTTGTTCAAGAGACTGTACCGTCGTCCCCGTTTTAAGGACACTCCTCCAAAGCCAACTCCCCGCTTCAACGACACAAAAAAATCTCAGAAGCAGGGTGGCCCGCTGATACACAATACTGAGGGGGGGGGGGGGTACCGGTTTCTTCATCCGGGACCCGCAAGATAATGCTGCAGCACACCTACGCAGCACGCTACACTGCACGGCAAGCGGTGCTGTGCCGCTTGTGCTGCGGCTTCCGCTACTGCGTCAAAAAAAAAATCGTAGCTTGGATTTTTGTGTGTTACTACTGCATGGTTTTGACGTTTGGGCAGGAGCGATAGGCTCGCATCTTTTCCGGCATTTTTCTTGTGTTTTTTTTTCTGGCGTTGTCTACCTTCTCCACAGCAGTTGAGGTTTCGTTCCATGTACAGTTTTGCTTCTTTCTTGTTAACAAAGGTGTATGGTGTCAGAGTTGCCACGAACGACGGTTGGTTGCGTTTTTTTTTTTGGGTGGTGACGATATGCATCCCGGCAACATTTTCAACGTGGGGACAACGCCACAACAAGAGTTGTTGATAAAGCTAACAAACACAGCAACATCACCAGCGCCCTGCTGTTGCAATTTAATACCTCGTCCTGCAGCACTACACGCACGCACTGTTCCAAGTATTGTGTGAGGGGTGGAGTGTTACGATGTGACGGTTCTAACACCAACGACGAAGTGTGTGCAGTTTTCAACAGCCACACCACGTTGTGATCGTTTCGTGCTAGTATCCCTGTGGCAATCGCGCATGTTACGCCTCCGTTGACCCCGGGGACACACTTGCGAAAAAAAAAAAATGGTTGCGTGTCCTTGAAGCGGGGTCGACTGCTGCTGTACATATGCATACAGTCGTGGGCCCGGTTTAGCGGTTCCCTGTTTAGCGGGATGCCCTGAATAGCGGTTATAAAATCTCGTGACACGGCTACACCCCGGTTTAGTGTAACCGCTAAACCGGTCGTGCCCTCAATAGCGGTTACTGGACATACTTTCAGCCACCAATAGCGGTTATCGATTCAAGTTTTGCAGAGACACAGCGACATTGGTCAGCCGCTTAGCGTGGTCGATGCTCGTAATAAAAGCACACAGCAACACACACACACACCATGCGGTGCGCGGATGGAGAACTGTAGCTTTCAGATGCGGCACTGAGTCCAAGCGGCGGGCACGATTGTAAAGGCGACTGTGGTGGCCGCATGCACGGCATGTACGGAGAAGTGGAGGATCCTGATGGCAACGAGAAGGCCCGGAGCCCTCCTCCCGTCTCAAATCCATCCAACCAAGCGCAAAGAGGCGGAAAATGGCTTTCTAGCACCTGGCGCGGAAAAAACAACTCGCACTGCAGCTACACGACAGCCCCGCACGCGGCCCAACTTTGGCCAGGAGCCTGAGGTTTTGAATATTCTTGACCAGCAGGTAGCGCACTCAGAAATAACGCGCAGGAAGAGATCGAAGCTTTGCCGAAGGATCGAATAACAAGCTCGTTGAGAAGTTCTCCAGTATGTACACGGAGGGGCCTAATACTTCCGACGACGAGTAAGAGCTAGAGCTAGAGCGAGATTGCACCGCAGAAGTTGACGGTGTGAAGGGCAAGGGGGTGATGGCGCAGCCGCCATACTCGGAGCTATCGGCGGATTTTGGCCAGCTTGAAGAGTGCGCTGAGTTGTGTGGCATGGGCGAGGCAGCACGCTATCTTCTCAAGGCAAAAATGGCGTTCCTCGCAGCGAATATCAGAGAGATGTTGGGTTAAGCATGATGGAAAAACGCGACGAATAGTATAAATGAGCTGCTCAAGCACGTGGTTAGTTGCCGTTGCGTTGTCACGAACTTGCCCCACGTTCGTTAGAGACGGGGACGATTTTCCAGTCTTAAATGAATGGCATACAGTCTATCAGGGAAAACAAGCTGTGCGCTTTCGTGAATTGAAATGCACTAATGTGCTTGCTGTGTTGTCACCCTTAGGGTCGATACTTCTTCATCTGCACCCTCGTATGACTGCTGCAATGAGACACATGCAGGCCCTACATCAAGATGAACTTTCGACGCTACTCTTGTTGGGCAAAAATGGGCTGTTTCCCGGTTTAGCGGTTCATCACCGCTTTTGAGCCTCCCGGTTTAGCGGTTCATAACCGTTACAGAAGTTTAGCGGCGATGCCCTGAATAGCGGTTATATTTTTTCGTGACACTATGGACCGCTGAACCGGGCCCACGACTGCACTTCTTGGTTGAAAAGCAACGGTTGATGAACATCAACCATCCCTTTTACACTATTGGTGGCATCTGATTGAACCCGTACTTCAACTCTAACCCAAGAACCACAATGGGTACGTGGTGAGTTGGCGTGCTCTGGATCGTGCGAAAGGGTATGGTCGCCTTGGTGGAGGCGTACTGCTGTGGTACGTTGTACCCAGTAAGAGGCGGAGAGATATCAGCATAGCACCATAGCACCAACAGAGATTTAGACAGGTGGATTGTTCCGCAACCAAACTTGCCGCAACATCGAAAAAAAAAAGTGTTGGTTTTGGAAACATCCCCGTCCGTTTGCCGCGTAAATTATCGGGCTCTTTCTGCACCCCCTCGGTGGTAGAGCGTTCGAGGTTTCAAATGCGGTCTATAGACGGGGGGTGCCCTCTCTCCGCCTCATACGGATATGCCGACATGGAGATTGCCAATCCTGCTGTGCTTGGACGTGGTTACAGCATCAACAGTCCAAAAACGGTGAGGAGCGAGTGAACCAAAGGCTTCCGACGGCGGCGATGAAAAACAGGCAGCGGAGGGATCATGTTTTTACTGCTGTTTTACTTTGTCGGTAGGTGCCTGCTGCTTTGCAGCAGGCTTTTCGAGACCTGCTTGGTTTCTTCAACAAACGGCGCATGACTGCTCTACTGGACGTGTCGCTTCCCGCTGCGGTGCAGCAACTCTAGCGAAATACGGCGACCTGTAGCCTTGCGTCAGCGGCACTGGGAGAAGACAGCAGCAGTGATGAGCAGCAGCAGCGGCAGCAGTCGTACCGCCTAATAGTGACGGCCCAACAGTACCAACCGCTGTACATGGGTGTTACTTGATAGAATAGCCACGGCAACCTCAAGGGTTGCAGCTGGGAAACAAGGAAAAACATACCCTCGCTTGGTGCATCAATCACTTACTGACATGCATCAAGCACAGCGGTATGCATGGGACGACAAACACTGCTGTGTCAGCAACCGGGCAGTTGTTCCACCCCACAAAACGTCTGTCTCCTGAGATCGAACTTGACTGGCATCTACTTGATGCCTTCTTTCATCTCACGTGGCGCCGACAGCAGCCAATCAAGGTCCGGGATGTCATCGCACACGCCCTCCTGCTCCACGCTCTCGAATTGCTCCTCGTTCATCTTACGTCTCACAGGCAGCACTGACCTTTGCGCACAGGTGAATGTGATGTGCGTTTCCGATCATCGTCTGTTTTCTTGATTTCTTGCCGAGCGTCATATAGGGGCACAAATAGCAGGAGTACGTGAATCAGTAGGGGGGTATTTTGTCTAGCCTGCGCGGCCCCGGCCGCGACATCAACGACGATCACCAACAGAATGCCAACTTATTCGTATTTGCTGATAGCACGTGCAACCAAGAGGAAGGCATTGGCGACACGTGCAGGGAAACAATCAACGCTTCATACCCTCGGTCTCAACATGCGGAAGTCGGGGGTGAAATTCGGCCTCATAGGGACGGCTTCCTCCCTCAAGAAGGGCTCATCATCAGCAGCAGGAGCAGCAGGCAGGGGGCGCCCGATAGGGTCCAAGCCGGCACCGCGACGACGCCCGGCAGGCTCGACGTCGGTCTTCGACGCCAACTCGGACGACGAGGAGGAGGACTCCAAGGGAGACCTCAGCGGGGTGACGGCGGTGAACAAGAGGCTGGCGGCAATCTCGGCCAAGCAGGAGAAGCAGGCGAAGAAGGAGTACGAGGACGCCCTGCAGGCCGACCCGTCCGTGTTCGACTACGACCGCGTGTACGACGGCATGAAGGAGAGGTGTGAGCAAGTCGCCGTCGCCGCGGCAGCATTACTTTGCACTTCTTCTCTGCTCTCGTCCCTGTATTTACTCCTTGGGTTTATGATCTTACTTCGTATGTTGCTTATGTGTTGGAACACTCCGCTCCGCGGCTCTGTGCTGTCGCAACGCAGGCGGACCCGGAGTTTGGTGCAACTCGACGGCATGGGACGAGAGTTGAACGCGCTAAATAGTCAGTCGCCAGCAACATTACACCACTTCTTATGGTCTTGGCCCTGTGTGTGTATTACTTGGGCCATCGTCCATTTAATCCCCGAGTAAGTTCGTGCGTGCGTGTTGAACGCGCTACAATATAGTGCTGCTTGTACGGCTTCACGTGCTGCTGGCATTGGACCGCAAACGCAGCCAAACCGGAAAGAAAGATTGTTGCAGCTGTGGTGTTTGGTGCCGCTCTCCCAATCCACCGCGAAGCACTCAAAGTACCCATGTCCACCCTTTATCCGCCAGCCGCGAGTCTAAGGTTGCGGCAGCGACGGTGGCGCGCGAGAAGGAAAAGAGGCAGCCCAAGTACATCGGCAACCTCCTCAAGCAGGCCAAGATGAGGGCGGTGGAGTCGGACCGCATCTTCGACAGGAAGTTGCAGAAGGAGAGAGAGGCGCAAGACAAGGTAATAGAGGGGACTCACCACTACCACTACCACTGTTTGTTTCTATAAAGGTACAGGTTTTTCAAGAGCCTGCTTTCCAGTGGTTGTATCACTTTGTTTTAGTTTTCTGACCCGCACATGACACGGAAAATTCTGTGTGTCTGGGCCTTTTGGATCAAAACGGGGGGGGGGGGGGGGGGGGGGGGGGG